ATTTCAATCATCCTTCCTAATCTCCCTCAAACTGTCGACAGTTTCTTTATCGGGTGTCATGACTGTACCTTGTCGTTGAGAAAGCCGATCTTGAGGATGTTCTCCACATTAGGGACACCGTCGGCCATGCTGAGGTCTCCCATTGAGTCTCCCAGCAGAATGACGTTGCCGTTATCCCTCAGCTGTTTGAAGTACTCGGTGTTACGCAGGGCACCGTCATGTTTGTTGTACACATGGATCAGGTCACCTTTGAATCCCCTCAGGATGCCCTACAAGACCAATAGCCAAAAAGACACAAGGTCAGCTCTTCTGTTTCTTTGGTGTGGCGTTAAACGCTTAATAAACACAAAACAGAGGGGGTTGTACCTCATGAAAGACTTACTTTGTCATCAAAGTCCATGAAGTTGGAAACAACCTTAACGTTGGGGTGGTAAACTCCGGACTGACGGATGATTTCCTCGAGGACGTCTCCAAGACCAGCAGAGAAAATGAAGACGGGCACGTTGTGCTGATGCAGGCGATCAAAGAACTGCTCGTAACCCTCTCTGTAACCAAACACACAAAACAAGTTCATCCCTCCCTCTGCTCTATTAAACATGAGAGTTTCACGCATTCTCTTCATTCTGTAGATACCTGAGTGCAACATCAGACTCCCTCACCACCTCCGGCAGTTTGTCTTTCTCAAGGCGCTGCTCCACGAGTAGCGAGTGGGACTTAAAATACCTGGAAACAAACTTGTCTCACAATTCAAGCTTTACACAAAAAGCTCATGCACAAATCGACCTATTCTATAAACTAGACTTGGCTGAGCTATTCTTTTAACTTGCTGCTGAAAGAGTACGTCTTTGTTCCCATATGCAAGTGTTTGACTTACCATTCCACCATAAAAGGGAATTTCTCTTCCATAGTAAGGTGAGGGTCTATCTCGATGGGATAATATTTATGCTTCAGCTGCAGCAGCTTCTGCTTGCACTCCTCTGATACCAGTTTGCAGTTATCGATGATGTCTAAGTAGAGAAAATGCGTCAAGAACATAAAGACAATTCCAACTAGGGTATTTCAAACAGACATCTTCGAATGAAAAGGCCTAATGTTCATTAAAGAAATGTGTATCGCCTTTTCCGTCATCTTATGCTGAGAAATGATGGTGTTGCTGCAACGTTGGTTAAATTTTGAAAACAACATTTTGCAAAATCTTATACAATATCACAAGATGTCCTGCTCAGAGTCACATCAAATGTTACGTTGATTGTTGCAATTATTGTTGAGTTATGGCCATTTGTGCTTGTAAAGGTTGATTAACTATAACTATCATTGAGGTTTAATTTGATCTGGATCCTGCCGGAACACGGTCCGGGAACGCTCTTATTTTGACAGGGTGCAGTCCGGTAACCATTTGCTTGGATCCGGTAACTCTCAGGCTTACTAATAATAAAGTTATTTAAAGAAGTTTACTTCTCAAACCTTAGATTCACCAAAATATTGAATACAATTTGAATAAATATGGAAGGATGAAAATGATGAAACAGGTCAGTAAAAGCTATGATTTTTTTTTTTGGGATGAGGCGGATCCTCGATGCCACCTGTCAATCAATCCAGTGGGCTCGTCAGCAACTGACCAATGGACGATTTCAATTTGTCCAGAAGTGAAACGCCCCTTACGTGCCAGAGCTGGAGTGGGGGGGTTAGGATGCGTGAGAGAAGCGGCGCATGCTAAACAACTAGTAAGGCCAGAAATGATCCTACATTTAATAGGTTACACTTATAAATCACACATAAAGCGTTTAAAAGTAAATAGTAAATATGATATAGATTAGAGATGCACAATATTGGATTTTTGACCGATTTCCGATATGTCAATATGTTGAAACTTATTTGGCCGAAAACCAATATTTGTTCCTGCCTAGACCTACACAGCTTTCTCTGCTGTGGAATTAAAATACTACATTATTCTGCATGGTCTTTGTCAGTTTGGCCTGCTACCAAATGCAGATGCTCAAAGGGGGCTGAAAATGATGTAACACTTCAACTTGCATTATGTTTAATGTCAAATTTATTCATGACATTTACTGTCAATGGGATTAATGGGATTTACCTGTCTAAATAAAGGTCGATTGATTGATTGTCAGTAACACAATAACAACAATCGAACAGTGCAAATTTGTAAATTTTCACTAATCTAAACTTAACGGCGCGCGTGATGTTATAACGTTGTGCTGGCGCTGCAGCCATCCTTGTCACTGGGTTGTCAAATATATATATATATATAAAAATTTAAACAGCGCCTTTTATATCGGTGAGTTACTGTGTTGGAATGGCAGATGTCTGATATTTCACTTTATCGCTAATATCGGCCGATACGAAACCATGCCGATAATATCGTGCATTCCCAAATATGGTTTGGTATTTTGGCATTTGTGCGCCTAAGCGTTGTGTTGTGTGCGTTCCAGTATCAGTGTTGGCCTCAGTGAACCTTGGTCTCACACTGCTATTTGCGTTCCGGCATCGTTTGGTTTACAAATTAAGCAGTGACTGGTACAAATGTCTCGTCATGTTTTACTTACTGTGACAAGTCGGGCAGCGTTTGCCATTGATGGCAAATTTGCTTATTGTCATGTCAAAGTCTGTGATGATCTGAAACAGACAAGAACATTGTTTATTAAAACCACAAAGAGGCATGTGCTAAATTAGGCATCAGAACAGACAACCCATAACACTACCTGTAAAACACACAACCATCTGGAAATTAATTAAAAGAGCTAGTTAAAATATGAAATGAGTTCATTTCTTTCACTTCACAGAAGCAGTTCCAACAGGGCTTAATGACATACCTGCAGTTTGTTAGCTCCTCCTTTGATGAGGCCACAGATGATCTGCTCCACCCTCTCAGGATCCCTCATGTGGACCGTTGGTTTCTCAAACTGAGGCATCTAGGGTTCCACAAAGAGACAATAAATGTGGTTATTGAGCAGGATATAAAAAGTGGAAACCAACCTCAATCTCTACCTCCAAGCAAGTCGGAGAAAAGATGAAAAAAGGTCACACTGGAGCTACAGTTCAGTTCATCATGCGAAATGTTTCACAATGAAGTTTTACCTTTCTTTACCATAGTTAAACAGAACAATCAGGATATTTCAACTCTTAAAAAAAAAAACGTTTGACTCAAAGTTTAATAACTGTGAAGAATTCATCTGTAGAGAACTGCATTTGATTTGCACTGCCAATATTTTTTTCTTTAATAAGTGTGTCAGTACTGAGGCAACAAGTCGTGTCTTGAATAAACCTTCAAGAGGTTCATCTGTGTAGGAGGAACCTCTAACACTGCCTCCAGCACAGAAACAGAACACCGTGTTCCCTGGTTCAGACCCCGGGCACACACCGATGAGAAGGGTTACAGGGTTTCAAAACAGCTGATGTTGGGAACATCGGCGTGTGTGACAGTCTGAATAGAAACACAACCCAAATCAGAGGTCGTCGAGGTCAACCCTTCTTGTAGCTTCATCAACTTCATTTCCACCGAGACGTTGTAAAACTGGAGCAGCATTTGTGTTGGGCTCTGCAGATTAAAGCTGTCCCTTCTTGATCCATTCCTGCGGTTCGCCTTGTGAGATTAGGCGACTTGAGATGGTAAATTAACTAAAAACATGGAAATGTCTGAGGTGCACCATACGTCTGTATTCACAAGTAAGAACTGATATGGTGAGCTGTTTGTTAAGTTAGTCAATTTAGAGATTTCATAAACTTATTCAGTGTTTAAAAGATAATCTAGTTGGACTTAAAGCTCCAGTGTTGATGTGTTTGTCATTATTAGATAACACAGGGATGTCAGAGATTACAGCACCAGGAGGAGCTCCACAACGGTACAGACATGTAAAAAAAAGAAGAAACAGAGCTGAACGTCCAGTACGGTCGTTGTACAAGTTACAACATCCTACCCACCCACTAACATTGCCTCCACTTATGTAATCAGACTTGCTGTAACTCAAACACTGCTGTGATCATACTGACACAAGACGCTCGGAGTACGAGCTAAAAATAAACCACAGTTTTTAACCTAGACACAAGGAATCCTCGAGTCGTGAAGTAAACAAGCCGAGACTCAAAACAACTCCTTGAATTGATTCTCCGTTGAAAGCTGAACTCGTTTGGGCGACGCACACTTCTTTACGTGCATGGTGCATTTAAAGGGTCACAAAATGTGTCGTCTTTTGTAAATACAAGAGGGTTTCAGAGCACATGCTCCAAATGGCAATAAAATTACACCTTGTACAAATATTAACTAGCTCTAAATAATTAAGTTACTCAAAGAAAGTCACTTTTGCATGCTTTCAAAACGCTTTTAAACAGTAATCTCATACTGACAGGAGCCTTCAATCTGGTAATTTACCCAAAAAGGAGGGGGTGCGTCCAAACACTGAAGCCGTCGGAGAACTAGCTGCACACAAACACAAGCTTACCTCGGGTCTGTTGTCTCTGCGGAAACAGGAGTGAAGAAAAGATTTTGTGGCTTCGTAGGGTTTATATAGCTACAGAAACAGGCAGGGGGTGGGGGTGTTGACCAAAACTGATAAGACATTATAACCACTCCCCCCAATCCAGGCTCAATTACATGCATAAAATTAAGTAATACTTGGGATCTAGACCGTTTCCAGTAATGTGACCACTGACCCTTTTCATAAAAGAACCTTTAAAATCAATTAGAAACGCCAAACTTGCTTGAGAGCAGATGGAAATGTGTGTGCTCGGCAGTAACACACAATTCTCACCATGATAACAAACATATGCACAATAAATAGCCCGAAGCTACAAGAAAGGTTAAGGTTCAGGCTGTTTGGTCTGTCCATGGTCAGTCACATGTGTCCAAGTCAACTATAGATTCGCCTCACATGCATGCATTCAACACACACACACACACATACAGATAACTCTGTGTCTTGTGCTTATCTTTATGCTGTGGCTTTAATATTTGACTCCTGACACTGAAGTGTTTGTGCAGTTTGGGTTAAGTCTGTGAGGCCCAAAGACTCAAAGACATCAACTCTAAAAAAAAAAATAATAATAAAAAAAAAGTTTTCTTTTTAATAACAGCAAACTGTGCATTCAGCATGACGGCTTAAGCAGAAATGTCAACGTATTTTTGTAGTTCTGGTAACTTTTTCATCCATTCAACCTTTATTTAGACAGGTTAATCCCACTGAGCCTCGGGACTCATTTACAAAAGAGACCTGATTTTAACGAAGCGTGATGACAACAGTGGACAACAAAGTCAACAATGGTCAATCATAAAGGATGCACACAAATTGAGAACAACAAGTGAAAGAAAATGGTATTAAAAAATGTAACAAAAAACAGCTAGGTTGTAAAGCGATGTAGAAAACTAAAAACAGGAACATGTCTGCACTGGTTTTGCCATGAACTTAACAGATGTTTAAAGCCACTTAGAAAGGGAACTTCAGATCTTCAGATCTTTTTGTAAGATATTCCAGGAAACAGGAGCGAAGTAGGAGAAGACCCTTTTGCCAAATTCAGTCCTCACTGAGGGAACACTGCAGGTAATAATGTCCTGAGAGCGCATGCTGTAGCTGCACTCACGCAGAGACATGCAAGAGGAGATGTATGAAGGCAGCAGACCAAGAAGTGATTTAAAGATGAAAATGTACCAGTAAAAGAGTCTGCATGAAATTAATGATGTCCAGTTAACCAGGGAATACAGGGTGCAGTGGTGGGTACGGTAGTTACAGCCAGTTATGAATCTTAGCGCACCATGATAAACAGCGTCCAACATCTGCAGGGTGCTTGTACGAGCGTTCAGGTAAAAAATGTCACCGTAGTCAATGGAGGGAAGGAAAATCGCAGTTACAAAGCATTTCCTAGCATTCAGAGTTAGACAGGATCTATTTCTGAAAAAGAAACCCAGTTTAACTTTCTGTTTCCTCACCAAATTTTCTACATGGAGCTTAAAAGAGATGCGAGTCGACCAAGATACCCAAATATTTGTAGGAATCGAAAAACTCAATAGGGACACCAATCACGTGGCGTCTCTGGGCAGCATGCCTCACCCCCAAAATGCCCCCCGGGCGCTTTCAATAGCTGCCCACTGCACCACCTGGTGGTGGATGGGTTAAATGGAGAGGCTAATTTTGCCATTGTATGGAAACATACAGTGCTGACATTGTGATGACATTATCATTATTATTATTATTTGAGGATAAAAATCAAAAGAAAAACTGCTGGGACCAACTTCGTGTTTGAAAACAGCATCCCTTTGGTTTTGTTTGCGTTTAGGACAAGTTTGAGATGCAACAAATCCGACTGGATGATGTCGAAAGTTGATTGCTAAAGCTGGAAAACCTTAGCAACTGTTTTAGCTCGACAGTAAACAACTATCATCAGCATAGAAATGTAAGGATGCATCAGGGATGGTCTGACCTACATTACCTATGTAGATTGTAAAGAGGGTGGATCCTAAGACTGAGCTTTGTGGTACTTGTTACAATTTATGAAAGTACAGTAAATTGTTAATATCCTGATGCATGCTCAATAATCCAGGTAGAAAAATCTAAAAAAATAAAAAA